ATGTTTCTTTATTATTTTTATTTTTTCCACTTTGTACACATTATAACAAAGACTTATTATGAATATTACAAAAAGTTAGTACAGATACAGATACAGAATAGTATAGAGCATATTAATAGATGAATATCTGCAACATCAAGTTTAGTTTTGTTGTTTAGTTTTGAAATTAAAGTGTCATGTTGCTTCGATTTTTTCTCATAGTATACATAAACCTAATAATATTTTTTATTTTTTTAATTTTCATCAATATATATTTAAAAAGTTCGAAAAGCACATGAGTAAATAAATATCAAAGTAAAAATAACTAAATAACATTTTTTTAATGTTTCTAATTAAAAGTAATCATATATTTAATAATAGGTTTTGTTATATTTTGTTTACATATTTAAAAAATCAATGATATTAAATTCTTTTTTTTTATTTTATAGATTTACCTTTATTATCTTAAGATGGGTGAGTTACCTTTTCAAATTCAACTTCAAGTTATAAAATATGAAATTTAAGTCGTTAACCCAAAGTCTAGATTTTTAAATGAATAATTTTTCTACTTTTTACTAAAAAACATTGAAATAAATAGATATTTATATATCTGACTCCAACCTAAATAACCCAAAGATCAGCAAAAAAAGAATCAGAAAATATAAAACATTTAGATCATTGAAATTCTTTTAAAATTGTAGGTCGTATCTGACCTACAAAATCATTTACAAATGAAGCCCACTCATGGTAGACACGAGTACCCTTTCTTTTGATTTTGAAAGTAGTCCATGTGCACATACCAAAACTATCAAAAGTTAAATTATTTTTTGATAGCTTTTTGAGAAAACTAATTTATAAGACTTATTTTAACCAGAGGTTAATACCTCTCTGACTCACCCTAAGACCCCTGCAAGTGGATCAAATAGTTGTATATAATATGTTTGGTTGTTTGACCTATTGGATTGAGTCTTTGAGGATCGTATTCAGAAATAACATTCAAAACTATTTATAAATAACAATTTGGGCTTTATAGTTAGAACATCGGCTAATTTATCACTTTTTAAAAGTGATAAATCTTTTATCACCAACAGAGGGTAATACCGCCAAAACTAAAGTTTTGTGAACACTAGTGTACTTGAAACCTTTTTATCCATACTCATCAGAATATTTCACTCTTTTTTTTCACTTGAATATGTTTCTAGCTCTTACTTAATGCAATTGATAAGGGAATCTTTAGATAGCCTTGCCCTACATCTACTCCAATCTTAACATTAACATTCTCTGGTTCAAGAGATCTATGTTATAAAACTGTTGCAACAAACTTATAAACAATATTGCTTAATACACCAGGAATAGTTCTTTCAATACACTAAATATTAGCAAAACAACTTGAAGTCCGATGATAATGATTTATTTTAAACTATCAACTTTCAAATTAATCAAAATATAAAATTATAACCCTAGTAGCAAACAATATTGGCGCAATATTATTTTTAGCATGTAAAGTGTGTACACAATATTGCAGATTTTTTTTTCCTTTCACTTATATAAATCGGGCAATTTCTAACATCTTATAGTCACTAGTAAATTTGATACAAATGTTAAAAAATGTTTTTTTTTTAATAATTTATATTTATTGAATTTTGTAGTAGACAATCTATACCCTGTATGAAATTTTCTTGTAATTGTTTGTAATTTTTTGTTTTCAGTTTTGAGTGTGAAAAGTAAGTTGCTTTTGGTTTACTACTCCAATAGAAACAAAAAACTTCTTAGGGCCAAAATTGTTTAACGTTATTTTTGCGTCATGGGTTACTAAATTGTTAAATAACAATTTAGTAAAATTGTTAAATAACAATTTAGTAACCAAGTTTTATCAATTACAATTAATTAATTGTGATTGGTAAAACTTTTTTTTTTTGTTATGGGTGAGGTGGATTGTACAATGAGTCAATTTCCTTTGCTTTGCTAACTTTGTGCAAGGATGCTTAATATCTTTTCTTATTTGTTTAAAACTTCTGCAAAGAAAAAGATTTTGATTGATTGTGTAAAGATTCAAATTAGTGATTATGATCTATATCTGTACTAGTTTCACATGATACAATTTGTGGAAGAACTGATATTTCAGTACCATTTTTAAGCTCATTAACACAAATAAAACACTTAATTTTCTCACTAGAATAATTTTAGTATTAAGATCTAAAAGTAATAAGAAGTTATTTTTTTAGTGAAAATACAATAATGCAAAACGTAATTAGTTTTTATTGGCTTATTTTTTTATAAAACATACATTTGTACATAGGTCGAGCGTTGAATAAATCTTTTGAATCTGTTTTTTTTAAACTCACTAGATTTTTTCTGCAATAAGAAAATAATATACTAGGCAGATCAGGGTTTTCAACAGATTGTTTTACCAAAAAAATCACTTAATAAGATTTTCGTAATTATTTCGTATTTTGGACCTGGTTTATTGCATTTGGTTTGAATGCATCTTAAATAGTTAATTTTTTTTTTATACACAATATGCAAAAGTATTTTAAAAACTCGTATTGATCTTTAGCAAAGTATGACATTTCTTTTCTATTCATGAGAAATGATTCCTGTATTTTTCAATCGGCTCTTAAATTTAAGTTAATATAAATTTTTTATTTATATAATTAAATAAACTCGCTGTTATTGCTTTATATGTTGTTAAAGTCTTTTAAAACAAATAAATATTGTTAAAGTCTTTTAAAACAACAACAACTATGAGCCAATTGAAAACTAATAAATATTATTATAGCCAATTGCGCTGCTGCATTTACAGAAAGTAAACAACTATAATGGCTGACGGAAAAATATTATTTTAATACAAAAACATCATTATTTATAAAACTTCCTAAAAAGTTCTCAAAAAGCTACCAACAAGTGATTCAAATTTTGATAGTTTGATATGTGCAAATGTACTAAATTCAAAATCAAAAAGAAAAATTTCATAATGCTTGTTATAAGGTCTTAGGTCACCTTCAGGGTACCCATGTAGAACTAGAATCAACAGAATCTCATAACAAAATACTTCTCTCCAGCACCACTTATCATAGAACTAGAATCGATAGAATCTTGTAATTATCTATATCCAAGAATTACTATTCATGTCTAAGATTTTCGCTTAGTTGGAAAATTTAAAAACATCTATATCCATCCTGACCGCACTCCAGCTTAACATTAAACTTTCAACAAACTTAACAAGTGGAAAAAGCTCAACAACAGTTTAAAATTTAATAACTGCCTTGACCACCCCTTTCGATTTGTCATCCTTGGTGGGTTTTGCTCATTATTTAAACTTGGTGAAGTTTGTTGTATCGACACCACTTTGGTGTATTTGGCAACTAGAAGACAGCATGCAAGGCTTACAAACCACGATTGATCAACTAATTCTGCAATCCAACATTCACACCTTAATTCTTTAATTATTATCAACCCCCCACTATCTCAAAAATTTCTCAAATGCCTCTATACTAATCTGACCTCTCTCATAAACAAATACAATGAACTCATCTTTCTACTTGTACTAAAGTACTGACCCCAATGTTAGTAAATGATATGTTATATCATTTGCTAACACAAGATCTACTTAAGGCAGTCTTTAAAAGTTTTAAGAAATGTGCTTATCTGTAGATTGATATAACATATCATTTACTAACACAAGATCTACTTACATAACTCCTCTTGGATCCAACAAAAAGAACCATATAAAAAACCAAACACTATGCTTTACTTGGTTTTAATAATTCAGGACTATCATTCAGCCAGCTTTAAAAAAGCTGTAAACATTTATTATAAACATACTGACTTTGAAAGCATGATCAACTACTTCAACTTGACTAATTGGGTTCTGGAATTTGCAAACCTTACAGTTAAATAGCGCTATACCTATTTTTCAGAAATTTTTCACTTTTATCATTTTTCACTCCAACTTGCAGCAACCTTATCCAGCTCAAACCCAATCCAATATAAACAATGAAGTTTAACAAGTGTCAAAAGATAAATCAGCTATTTTCGCCAGAATTCAAGCAGCACCCCAAAAACATAAAACCGACGTCTAACAAATTATTGTGCAAAGTCAAAAAACTTTTTTATAAAGCTCTCTGCAAGCACAAACAAAGAATTATAAATAAATGCAAGGATAATCCTTGACTCCATATGACTTAATTAATAAGGCTAAAAATTGTGAAAATCTTAATCAAGCTCTAGATAATAACAACGGCATGATAATATCTGATGGACCTGAGATGTGCAACTTGCTGAACAAACAGTTCTTCTCTGCATATAGCAAAGACCTCATAGATGATCCTCATATTCTTCAGCCAAGCACGAATGAGATTCTCAGCATAAATGAAAACATACTTTCTCAAGCTGTTTTTGACTAGCAATTCTCAATACTGGAAAATTACAAACCACCACGCATTGATGGATTCCATCCGTACATCCTCTTGGAAACCCGAGCTGCAATTAACCTTTAACTTTAACTCCTTTGTCTTTTTTGTTGATATAAAAAAACTCTTTTTCTACCGGTAAAATTCTCTTATCCCGTTTAGCAATAAATTGCCGACCTTAATCTGTGTGAGGTCAGCATCAGGCCAACAGAAAAAATGTAAAACTAAAGTTTGATTATAAAGCATAGAAAAGAGGTCAGCGATTTTTTGCTGACCTCAAATATATTTCACATATATTTCTTCCTGACCAAGTCATATATATATATATATATATATATATATATATATATATATATATATATATATATATATATATATATATATATATATATACATATATATATATATATATATATATATATATATATATATATATATATATACAAAATTAAATAACTATAATATATTGTAAAGATAATTCTAAAAATTTACCGCAAAAAAATATCAATAAATGTAATTTATTTTCAAAAAAAAAAATATATATATATATATATATATATATAAAATTAAATAACTATAATATATTGTAAAGATAATTCAAAAATTTACCGCAAAAAAATATCAATAAATGTAATTGTTTGGATTGTCTTTCCCAATCCCATTGCATGTGCCAGAATGCAGCCATTACCATGAGTAAGTTTGAAATCTGAAGTTGTTTCAATGAGGTTATCATACAAAAAGCGTATACCACCAATCTGAATTAACACAGTGAAGGTATATGTATTTTTTGATATACAGTTAAAATTTATATTATAATATAAAATGCAAAATATCTATCTATTTGTGTACATATATGTGTGTGTATATATATATATATATATATATATATATATATATATATATATATATATATATATATATATATATATATATATATATATATATATATATATATATATATATATATATATATATATATATATATATTATATATATATATATGTATATATATATATATATGTATGTATATATATATATATAAATATATATATATGTAAAAAAAAAAATATATATATATATATATATGTATATATATATATATATATATACATATATATATATATATATACATATATATACATATATATATATATATATATATATATATATTAAGCAGTAGTGGTGTAGTGGTAGAGCGCTCGCTTCATAAACGAGTGGTTCCGAGTTCGATCCCCACCACGTCCCTGGTAGTACCGCGCTCAACTCGTTTCTCCGCGAAGCGGCCTTGTTCGTCAAGGTTCGTGTTTCGGAGTTATAGAGTTGAGAGAGGGTTATAACCACAAATAAGTAGCCTCCTTGTCTGTAGTGGCCTTCTCGGCCTTGAGGAGGTGAATTAAAATAAAAAAAAATATATATATATATATATATATATATATATATATATATATATATATATATATATATATGTTGTGTAAATGTTTTTATCCAATATATATATATATATATATATATATATATATATATATATATATATATATATATATATATATATATATATGAACGTGTAAAGGTTTTTATCCAATATGATGGGTTTATGTGTCAAACCATTTTATTGCTATAAACCTCTTTTTTTATATTTGTTTTTGATGCACCAGGACTTCTTTAAAGTTTACTAGTTTATGTGTTATGTGGAATATTTGGATTTTTATTTTTAAAATTTACATATAATAATAGATTATGTAGATTTTTTGTAATTTTTTTTTACTTAAAGTAAAAATTCTTTAATTAAAGAAAGAAAAAAAAATGTATCCAATTTTGTATAATACAATAAGTATTAATATTGTTATTATTATTCACATGTTTATATATTTTAAATTAATGTCATTAATATCAGTTGTTTACTTCAGATAAGTTTATTATTATTTATAAATGACTATGAATGGTAACAATTCTTTTCAGAAATATATATATATATATATATATATATATATATATATATATATATATATATATATATATATATATAAATATATATATATATATATATATATATATATATATATATATATATATATATATATATATATATATATATATTGATATTTTCAAAAATACTAAATAATATTTAATCATGGATAAAAAGGTATACAACAAATATATGAAATTATTACTTGGCACTATTCCTGGAGATGATACTAAGAAGAAAAAAAAGGTTTCTAAATTGCCAACACAGAGAATCTTATTATGCCTAGGATCAAGCTTTATCTGAAGCCATAGAAAATGTGTTCTTATATTATTAGAAAGCTAATATCTCAACAGTAGGTAATATCTCTAGTAGGCAGAAAAAATATTGGTAGAGTAATCAAAGATTACTATGAAAAAGAATTTATTACTTCAAATGAAATTGAAAGTAATAAATGTTTTTTTGTACCCAAAATAGGTTTGAAGATCAAAGAAAATTGCCATTGCAAAAAAAATTCTGGTGCATAGGGATGGAAAACTTGTTGACACTCTTTGATTCCAAAGAAACGAATGACTGATTGCCAACTCTTGTGTCTGGAGCTGATGTTGCAAAGCTCCTTGGCATTTCCCTGCATCCAAAATCAACTAAAGGAACTGGTAAAGTTCTTGGAGACATCATAGAAAACATCAACTTCTTAGAGAATAGAAGTGTTATAGAAAATGTTATTGGCATGGTTTTTGATACATCTTCAACAAATAGGGGTAAGCTTGATTAATTAAGTAAAACATATCTATATGAAGATTAATTACACTGTAGTTATATATATTTTTATGAAAGAGAACCGCTGCATATATATCTACAGAAGGTATTAGACCGTGCCCTTATCTGGTTTTCTTTTTTGCATGAATTTCTTTTGAACCAGTGCTGGGAAGGTTTGAAAGTGGAGTTACCAGCTTGTCCAAACATATTGGTGAATTCAAAAGGTTGTTCCTTTTATTACCTACAAACAATATACTATACAAAAAATAGTAAAGAGCTACTTTTTACAATTGGGATGTAGTGAACTTACTACTTATAGTTTTAACTTACAAAAACTAACATTTATTTGACATTATATCTTTTTAATTTTCTAGGTTTAAGAAACATTTCGTTTATATATATATATAGTATATATATATATATATATATATATATATGCATGTGCAAACCTTTATTTAAATCCAGTATTCTAAAAAGCTTCTTCAACTATAGTGGCCTTTGTGAACTTAGGGAGCATACAAGAAAATTTTTAAATAGTTTATTACATTTTATTATTTTTCTTTAATTTAATCTAATTCTAACATTTTTGCAAAACTTAAAAAAACCTGATGTGGCTTTAAAACATTTTCCAAATGTTTTGGTATGAGTATATCTGGATCAGTCGATGGATGATTTATGTTAACAAGAATATTTCCATGTACTCCACCAATATTTAAAAGATCATTTGTATGAAGTCCTAAATTTAACAAATAAAAATGTAAACAGCTTAAACAAATACACACACATACATATACACATACATAAGTGAATACATATAAATACTAAGAGAATACATTTGTATTATGTACATTTTTGTATACTTGAAACAGTGCTCAATAGATAAACTAGAGCTTTATAATATATTAGTTATTACCTGCAGTACCAGAAATTAGCTAAATGCTGATACTTCTATAAGATTATTTCTGTTCAGAGTAAACTACATAGCATACATTGCATTTAAAGAATATAAAAGGCAAATCACAGCATATATGGTGAACAAAACCTTCGGTGTACACTAATAGCTAGATACCAAATTATTTTTAGATACAAATATTTACACAATTAAACCTGTCTTGATGCCAATGAAAAAGGTATTTTTCTTATGTGTTTTTCTAATGAAATTGTTTAAACTAACAGATATGGTTTACTGATTAAAAAAAAAAAGTATGAAAGCATATTCTTAGTATTTGTCTAGTCTGTAAACGCAGGCCATTATCTATAAATTTTGTAAAATTGCATGAATATTTTTTGGGGACTGGACTGAGAGTGCATCAATTACTTTTTAAACAACTGTCTTTGGAGTAAATGTTAGATAATTCGGAAAAATTCTGTTATAGCTGCTATTGAGCTGCTATTTGTTGGAAAGCTCAATTTTAGATCAAATGTACCTAATTTATCTTAAGTAAAGAAAGTATATTATGTGTTTGTTTTGCAAGAAACTATATATATTTCAAGGTGACTCGTCACCTCAACACCAAACACAAGGATACAATTATTGATAGACAATTTAGTAAAAAATAAACGAAAACAGAGGTTATTCTTTATCCTGTTAAGTTTCAAAATTATTTATTTTTGATTGCAAAAAAGGCATATTTCTTGGTGCTAAATGGATCATCAGAATTATATTAATTATTTCTTGATGCTAAATGGATCATCAGAATTATATTAATTATTTCTTGGATTAATTATATAACATCTAGAAACTCTGATCTTGTATCTTGTGCATGTTCATCTAACAATATACAAGATCCGGTTTCTAGACTAGTTATATACTATACTATAATGAAAGTTATATTTTTCAGTTATAACAGTCATTTTCTTAGCTATTAAGACTTTTTAAACACAGTTAGGAAGTATCATTTATCACAGCTAGAAAGTATCGATTCACAAGTGTAGCAAGTGAGTTGATTTAATTTATCTTTTACATTAAATAACACATTATAATGTTTTGGTTTAAATACATGTTTAAACTGCAATCATCAGACTGTAGTAAAAAACCATTCATATACATAGTTCATGTAATAAATTTCATCATTTAAATAATATCTTTATACTTTTATATCTATGTGTGTTTATATATATATATATATATATATATATATATATATATATATATATATATATATATATATATATATATATATATATATATATATATATATATACGGTTTTATTAGTTTGATAATGGCTCTCACTATATGAGCCGAAATATCACTTATGTTTAAAAAAAAAAAAAGAAAGAAACGAAATAATTAGTATGATACCGTGTATGATGTTTTAATGCTTATAATTACACATACTGTTAAAGATGTCACTTAAATTATATATATATATATATATATATATATATATATATATATATATATATATATATATATATATATATATATATATATATATATATATATATATATATATATATATATATATATATATATATATATATATATATATATATATATATATATATATAATTTTTAATGCTATCTACAAAATAGAGTACTAGAATAGAATGTTCTTAAAGAACAGAACAATAATAAATTAGTAGAAAGATACTAATCAATTTTTTTTTATTTTACAGTGTTTTGTCAATAAAGACTTATTAGAAATGCATTTCTGATGAGTCTTTATATATAATGTATATACACAACCCTCAAAATTTTGGCATACAACAATGAAAGAAAACAAAGAAAAAGTCTGACCTAACTGCCAATATGACATGTGTCTGAGGCAACAGTTTTTTGCTGACTTCAGAATAATAAATTTTTTCCTCAGAAAAAATAAATTTAAAATAAAATGATTAAAATAAAAATGGCTAAACCAAAATTTTATTTCAATCGATATAAAATTATTAAAATAAAAATGGCAAAACGAACATTTTATTTAAATTCTAAATTAAATAATTGAAATAAAGACGGGAAAATAAATTTAAATTAAAAAAAATATATTAAAATAAAAGCAAAAAAAATTAACATTTTGTTTAAGTTTTAAATAAAATTTAAAAAATTTTAAAAATGACAAAACAAATGTTCATCCTAAATAAAATATCTAAAATAAAAAGACAAAACAAACGTTTTATTTAAACTCTAAAAATAAAATAATTAAGATAAAAACAAAAAAACAGACTTTTTAGTTAAATTCTGAACATAATAATTTAACACAAGAGCAAAACAAACGTTTTATTTAAATCTTTAATAAAATTATCTAAAAAAAAAATAACACTCTGTTTAAATTTCATAATTCTAGTAAATATATCATTTTTTTTCAGTTTAAACAACATGTTTTGATTATACAATCATCATTTTCAAGTATAAAACTGTTAATATACAAAAACTATTTAATATATAGTGGAAACAAACATTAATTTTATATATGCATTCACACAATGTTTAATGCTTCTTTGATTTTTAAGTGATGCAAAGTTTGGGCCTAGTACTGAAAAAATACTGAAATACTGAAAAAGAATCTTCATTGGCTACATTAAAGCAACTAGTTTTTGAATAAATATGTTGATTTGAAGTTTTTTGTAATTTTAAATGTTCCTCGATTCTTTTACTTTTAAATGTCGAGTGGTTTGATCCACATAACAAGCATTACAGCTTTTACACACATTATTTGTATTTGATATTTGAGCAGAGATGTTGATGAGTTTAATCTTTTGTTGAAAAATATATACTAATTTTAAAGGATGAGAATGCCAATTTAATATTAAGAGTTTTAGAATGTTTTTTGCATAAGCCATTTATTTTGTTTTGAAATTTTTTTGATATTTTACCAATATAAGAGATTTTAAAGTAATTTATTTTTGAGGAACCTATAATTTCTTTATTTTTATTTTTATTTAGTCTGTTTAGGTAGATTTTTTAAATGCAATTAATTAATTTAGTTGGGTAAATGTTTTTCTGAACAATATTTACACTAATTATCTAAATTTTCCATTATTCTATGATGTACGTATTAATACCTTTCCTGTTGTTTTTTTTGTTTGACTAAGAATTAAAACTTTTGTTTGTTTTCACTATATATTAAATAGTTTTTGTATTTAAAAGTTTATACTTTAAAATGATTATTGTATAATCGAAACATGTTGTTGAAACTGAAAAAAAATTATATTTATTAGACTACAAAATTTGTGCTATTATGACCATTAGGTAATTTAATAATTGTTTGAATAAATTTAAAATAAAACAACAAAACAAATGTTTTATATTCTAAATAAATTAATTAAAATAAAACAGCAAAACTAACGTCCTATTTAAATTGCAAACATATCATTTAAAACAACAAAACAAACGTTTTTCAAATTTTCAGGCAAATACCTACATTTCCAGGAAAAGTCAGTTAACTATGTTTAACAAATTGCAAATAACTCTGAGGGTTGTATATATATAAGGAGGTCGGCAAAAAATTTTGGACATTAAACTGTTAGACACGGTTTACAAAGGGGTTACCATAAAATATAAAAACAAGGTCAGCCATAAAATATAAAAACAAGGTCAAACACTTTAAGGTCAGCATTGCTGAATTCCAAGAGCTAGATATATATATATATATATATATATATATATATATATATATATATATCAGGTTATATATTAATCAGGTTGTATATCATATATTAAAGTTTAACATCATTACCTAGTTCACTATAGTATATTTTTGATTGTGCTTTTCTATCTGAGCTTGAATTAACATCAGAACTATATTCCTCTTCTTCACTGTCAGTGCTCAAAATACAAATTGTTTCTGTTGATTTAGTTACGGGTTTGGTATCTATTTGATCATCGCTGTCTGAGTCAAGGCAAATAGTTTCTGCATCATTTTTTAGAATTTTTTTTTGGACAAATAAGACTTTACTATTTGCATCAATATTTAATTCTTTAGAAGAACTCTGAGCACCCAATCTGTTTAGTCTTGCTTGTTCTTTTTCTCGTAGAGTTTGGGTTGTAAACTCAAGTTGCTTATCACCAATTACTTTACGAATATTTCTTCGCAAACCTCTTTTTTTCAACTTGGAAGCCAAAGAATTTTTTTTCTTTATTATCTGTGAATCAGGTATGTTTATTATTTCTGTATCATCAATGCCATTATGAAAAAACTCAGAAGTATTATGCTCTTCTGCATCACATTTTGCTCTATTCTTTATATCATTTTTTGAACAAACTCTTTTTAATAAAAACATTTCAGATTCAGTAGTATTAAAACTTCTTTTCAATGAAACAACATCACTCTCAACAGCATCACAAAGTTCTTTTATCACATCAGTGACTATATTTTGATCAAACAAATGTTTTTCCATTTTAGTAAATTTTTTTTTGTTTTAACTTGTTCCACTGATTTTTGAATCTGTTTTTCAAAAAATTAATATATTATGAAAATATTTTCAGTACAAATATAAAATTTTAATATCACTAGAGTTTAAAAAAAAATCTTAAAATTCAAAATTTACTTTATTTAATAGATTTTAATTTCCATTTACAATTAGCACTTAAAATAAATTGATTAAAAAAAAAAAAACATTATTAAATTAAATTATAAACTTCTGTTAATAGTAAATTAATTTTATCCTTATTAAATAATTCTATTTATATAATAGAGCGTTAAGTTATTATCACTTTTTAACAAGATAAATTTAAATTCCATTATTTAAAGCTCCAATATAAAGTGTAAATAAGAGCTAAAAAGTTGGACTTTTTTTAAATTGACTTCGTAGCTCCGGAGTTCATAAAAATATTTCCGCGTATAAAAATGCCCAAAATTAAGCGAAGCGATATATATATATATATATATATATATATATATATATATATATATATATATATATATATATATATATATATATATATATATATATATATATATATATATATATATATATATATATATATATATATATATATATATATATATATATATATATATATATATATATATATATATATATATATATATATATATATATATATATATAAATATATATATATATATATATATATATATATATATACATATATATATATATATATATATATATATATATATATATATATATATATATATATACATATATTAATGTTCATTTCAAGGTCATGAAGGCCACTACTGTCAGGGAGGCTAGTTGAATTGTGGTTACAGCCACAATTTAACCGTAAGTTAACAGTTGAGCGTGGTGCTTGCATTACCATTACCCTACACCACTATCATGCGGTAGTTAATGGTAATGCAATAGTGGTACTGGTACCACTACGACACTTTTTTATTTTGAAAGACCAAACAGTTTGGGTTAGTATTACAATTCTGAGATTAAGCTATTGGACGTAATACATATGATTTATATTCATCGAGAAATTTTAAGTTTCATAGTATAATTTCTCAGCGTTCAAAAATTATGACCATATAAAATTTGCAACCCCTTCAAATTGAAAGGGGTTTAAACTTTATATGGTCATATTTTTTGAATGCGAAAATATTTTACTATGAAATTTAAAACTTATCGATTAATACAAGTCTAGTTGAAAATAGTTTAAAAAAATATTTTATCAACTTGTTGCTCTCAAGTTTGGGGAAGAGAGGGCTAAAATATTGGGGTTTTTTTGTTCCCAGGCTACAATCATCACAATTTTTTACAAAGCATTTTTATTTGGCATAAGTATAAACATAAAAACTTTTAATGACTGACAATGTGAAATCTGCTTAGCTTCTGTATTTGAGATTGAAACTTTATTATTCGGAATAAAAATGCACATGAAAAAAATAATTAAAATTTTAAAATCATAGTTTATTATAAACTACTTTTTACGAAAAAAAATAGAGTTTAGTTGTAGTTGAATTAGACAAAACCGGCCGAACTCCGTAAGCTTATAAACAGTTGCCATGCTAGCTAGTGCTAAATTGCACAGAAGATGATGCGTTGTAATTATTATGGTAGTTGATTAGTAAACACTCACTGATTGAAGGAGTCGACGCTGATAGCACTGACAACTTTGTTTTGTAGTGCGTTCCATTGGTGAGCAACGCGGTTTTTGAAGAAGATGAAGCAAGCAAGACATTTGTTATTAATTTCACGATAAAAGCGCTACTATTTCAAGAAGTACTTGAATGTTGAGGCAAAAGAAAGAACCATAACGTTGCATTTTTTAGACAAATAAGCCGCCTTGCCTTTACCAGGACCCGACCAGTTATAAATTATTAGAGTTTTTGCATCTTTACTGCACTCAATGTGTGTAATTTACTGCACTCAATTTGTGTGATTAAAAAGACTGTGGGATTAGTGGGAACCTGTAGAGAACGTGAATTTCAACCTGACTTATTAATAATTAAAGGTAACCCCTCTTTATGGGTTTGTGGCTTAAAAAAATGATTATCATCTTTTGAATTTGTATTGGTAGTTACAATTTGGTATAAAACCTTTACTGCTGTTATTGACGTTAGTTGTATTTTACAACTAATGTCAATAACAGCAGTAAAGGTTAGCTATAGCTGAACATCTAGGATTCGAAACTGAACTCGCTACTAAAAGAAAGCGTAAACTAAAACGTTTTCACGATGAAGCATCAACGCAGCCCATTTTCACGACAGCCAAACAAAGTGAACGTTTTTAATTTTGGATTAGATAGTCTGATTAAACAGATTGATTTAAGATTGAGACAAGCAGGATGGTTGCCAATATTTTTTTTTTTGTTCTTTTATTTATATGGTTGGATAACGATGATCTTTCCGTTTAAAATAAGCTTGAGAACTAGCACGGTTTTATCCGAAAGATGTTAAGGAAGAGAATATCTTTGAAGAAGTTTGCCGTTTAAAAAATGCCCGCAGAACAATTTTCAAGCAAACAAATCTAATGTGGCTACTCAATCAAATCTTTGAAAAGAAGCTTGAAGACTTTTTCTTTGAAAAAAATCTTGAAGGTCTACTTGCATCATGCTCCAGATTTTCAACACTATTCCTAAGTCAGTTGCTGAGGGTGAACAATCGTTTAGTAAACTAAAAATTGTAAAAAACTCTCTCCGTTTAACTACGGGCCAGGACCGCGTTACTGATATTTGATTACTTCAGTTGAAGAAGATTTGGCATAATAAGTAAACAACGACGACGCCATCGATATTTTTTATGTAAATATTTCTTTTTAATTATATTTTTTAATATACGAAGAGCAAGTATAACTTAATGATCTTATTACCACAAGCTTTTATTTAAACAAAAAAACATAATAAATTTTAAAGAGAAAAAATTGATATAACTCAAATTAATTGAAAATTTAAATACATAATTATATCAAGCATTAGGGATTGCCATAAATTATGTTTACTACATTAGGGATTGCCATAAATTAGGCAAAGCTAAATTTAATTAATGAACTAAATCAACTTTTTCCTCAGAGTCTTTAATTCAACCAAAATGTAAAATAATGCTTCACCTTTAATGAAAATTGCCGCGTAAAAGTGCAATTACTCTTTTTGTTTATTAAATAAATTTAGCGTTGCATAGTTCGTGGACAGTTTCTTAGGCAACTATCAAAGTATTAAAAATTATTTATTATCGTAAAATCGCCAAAGTACGGTCACTTAAGCATTGAACACTCATTTATCACGCATAAATAAAAAATTTTCTTTTTTTTTTCCTGAAATATACAGGCAATTATATTGATAATTGAAATTGTAAAAAATGAAAAATAAAAACTAATACTCAATATTTAATTTCAAATGAGAACATCTACTTTGACCGAACTTTCCATGCCATCTCATAATTTTGGTCGCTATATAAATTCTAATAACGCATCACTTCACAAATGATGAAAACTAATTTTAGATGTTGCTTTATTGTTTAATGATGATATAATATCATGCAATACCAGTAACCAAGGAGGGTGTCGTCCTGAAAACTTAAAAAAAGTCTTTTGGGGCGCCTAAGAAAACAACATAGAGTACATAAAACCTTTTTTAAGTAAAAATAGTACTATTTTATTACTTTGGTCATTATCACTTTTTTTTTGCAGGTGCTCCCAGAAGTCCATACTAGCTTATCACAGAGATGATCTTTTGGACTTCTTGGGGCATGCTACGTTCGCTACGTCCGCTACGTCTGCTGGTAATAAAGTTAAAAAGATATTTTTAATTAAATTTAAAAGAATTTTTTAACAAAACTTTTTTTTTTTTTTTTTTAGTTTGCTTTATATAAACTTTGTATGTTTATTGGCAATTCTTGCACATATGGTCAACCAAAGTAGAACAGCAAAATCCACACAACCAATTGTCACAGGATTCGCAACACGTCTATAATTGATGTTGAGCTGTAATTTTATGTCCAAAAAAATGTCACAAGCTTGACATTTTTTTGAATTTAAAGAACCATCAGATTTACAGTGTTAATATTAGAACTTACAAAAAATTTAGAAAGGATTTGGACGATATTAAGGATGGTCTAAACCAGGGCTGTAGGGAGGGGGGAGCACAGGGAACACGTGTCCCCCTCTAGTAATTTTTATATTCCTCATGTTAATATAGTTTCTATGGAGAGAAAAACAAATAAGCGCGGCGGTGGAGTTTTATGAAATTATGTTCACGAAAATTTTGAGTGTTGTTTTAGGCATAATTTGAGCGTTCCTGACTCTGATAAAGAAATTTTAACTATTGAAATTACAAACAATCAAACTAAAAACATTTTACTAAGCTTTTGTTATCGACCGTTTGACGGCGTGAGTGAAAACCTCAGGCGAAAAAATTTATAAGAACTACAAAATCCTATTTGAAAAAAATTGCAGAAACGTGATGAAAAAACTATTACTCCCAATTATTCAATACATTTAAAAACGACGTAAAGCGCACGTGGCAAATAATGAAAGAAATTAATGGCAAAAAGAAACCATGCTCCGGTTTTCTGCCACAAATGGTTAGAATAAATAACAAAATTATATGAACCAAAAACTATAGCTCAAGAATTTGCCAAATATTTCACTCATATAGGACCAACACTGTCTAAAAAAATCCCTAAGACCAAATCTTTGTTTACTGATTATCTAGAACCCCTGGATAATTACATTTGTTCAGATGAGTTATCTTCCGAATTAATGTTTAATGTTTTGACAGAGTTGTTAACAAGGCCAAAAGTAGCAAGGCCAAGTCTACATGTTACAAGGCCAAGGTCAAAAGTTAGAGATTCAAGGCAATCGCCTACGCAAACATTGTCAAGACCAAAGACTTAACTTTTTGCCTTATTACGTTAATAAAGTAATTACGTAAAATAAAGAATGATTAACTACGTAATTAATTATGTAAAATAAAGAATAAAACTTTGAATTCTTTAATTTTATGTATTTTGTTATAAAGACCAAGGCCAAAACAATCAATG